AACAATTAAAGTGTTACATCAGAAGTCTCTTAGAGAACAGAAGATATCAAAGTGGCCGGATTTGTTAAAACAAGACTTTCTGGTGAGAGATAGATGGAGACTTTTTTATAAACCACCTTTGGAGAAACGAACTGCAGATCTTCAATGGAGAATAGTACACGGGGCAATAGCGACAGATAAACACGTTGCACACCTGAACCCAGATGTAAGAGGAGAATGTAGGTTTTGTGGGGAAGAAGAAAACTTAGAACATTTGTTTTTAAAATGTAAAAGGTTGGAAAGTCTCTTTGAGGTTCTTAAAAAATTGTTTCATGATTTTGGTGAGGTTTTCTCAAATGAAGTTTTTATAGGTGGTGTAAAATATAATTATTCAGAAAGAAGAACAAAATGTCTGTTGAATTATTTGACTGGGACAGCAAAAATGGCAATGTGGATGACAAGAAAAAATCATGGTCATGGTCTCTCTGGACGTTGTTGCAACCTTGATGCTGAAGTAATGTTCATGAAATTGGTAGCAAATAGACTTAAAATTGAATTTGCATACTACAAACTTGTAAATAACGAAATGCTTTTTAGTGAATTGTGGTGTGTTAAAGAGGTTTTGTGTACTGTTTATGAGGGGGTTTTGTTTTTGAAGTTGTAAGTTATATGGTTATTATGTGAGTTTTTGTAAATGTAAGGAATTGTCTTTTTTATTGAATTAAAGGTTTTGTTAAACCTCTCTCTCTCTCTCTCTCTCTCTCTCTCTCTCTCTCTCTCTCTCTCTCTCAAATTCAAATTCAAAGAGCTTTATTGGCATGACTGTAAAACAAATCACAATGTTGCCAAAGCAATAACAAAATACAGAACATTCATTCATATAAATAAAAGAAATATAAGTAATAATAAACAAACACATATACATATCGTTATATTATACATATATGTTGTCACAATAAACAAGTTAATAAAAAAAAGATTAACAAAAGTATATAATAATAAATGGTAAGGAGAGAGAGCTTTAATAAGGGATGAGGGGGTTCAGCCTTTTTCTCTCATATGGTGGCATGCGGACACGTACTGTGCTGCTAGGTGGAGACACTTTTCATTTTCTCCCAAAATATAATGGAGTTTCTCCGTATTTGTGGCTTGCTGGAATTGTGGTAGAATCAGAGACATTTGTGTGAAGTAAGCTTCTCTGATGCTCTGATATTTGCTGCATTGAGTGAGGAAATGCAGCTCATCCTCCACAACTCCAGCAGGGCAGTGTGGACACAGTCTGAGCTCTGGGCTCCTCCAGCTGCGCTTGTGTCGGCCCGTCTCCACACTCAGACTGTGTCCACTCAGACGGTACCGGCTCATCAGCTTTCTCTGACCGGGGCTCTTAATGTTGGTCAGATACGGGGCCAGTTCATAACCAGGTTTAATCTGGTTGAAGCACGCTAACTTTTTTATTTGTTGTACTTTATTTTGCCAATTGAGTTTATAATCCTCCTGGGTAATCTTTTCTATTTCTTTAGTCTTTATATGTTGGGACAGGGTTTGTGAGTTTAGTTGGTGTTTTCCCACCAGATAGTGCATGGGGTCGCTGGCCGGATGTGCATTTCTATATATGAGGGCTTGCTGATGGTAGCTCTCTGGGCTGGAGTCTGACAGATGGAGCCAGAACTTCCCTGCTCTCTTCTGGATTTCTGAGAGCAGAGGGAACCTGCCTAGTTCTGCTCTGCAACCAAGGCTAGGTGTGCTTCTGTGAACTCCGAGGATGTTTTTGCAAAACTCCAGATGAAAGATTTCAACTGGAGTTTTTTCCCAAGATTCATAGTTTAATTTAAATGTGGGTCCCCAGAGTTCACAGCCATACAGCAGGACTGGCTTTACAATGGTGTCAAATATTTTCAGCCACAGTTTAATGGGTGGGATAAACTTAAAAAGGTTTCTTTTAATACAATAAAAAGCCCTGCGTGCCTTAGCTGTCAAGTCTTTTAGAGCTTGACTGAAGTGTCCAGAAGCTGTGATTGTCAGACCCAAATAATTATAAGAGGTGACATGGTCAAGTATTGAAAAAAGAAATAAAAGTGTGTCTTTTTTTATCAGCCAGACGAGGTTTTTTACAGAAGATCATGATCTTGGACTTCTGCATGTTAATGGGCAATGCCCAGTCTGTGCTGAACTCCTCCAAGATGGAGAGACTGTGGTGAAGACCCTCTTCATGAGGAGACAGAAGCAGCAGATCATCCGCATACAGGAGACATCTGATCTCTCTGTCCTCCAGGCTCAGGCCAGGACTACAGGACTTCTCAAGTGCTGATGCCAATTCATTGATATAAATGTTAAATAGAGTCGGGCTGAGACTGCAGCCTTGACGGACTCCTTTACTCTGAGTGAAATAATCAGTCCGCTTATTGTTTATTTTTACACAACACTTGTTCCCATTATAAATGTCCTTTATTATGTCATAGGTTTTTCCTCCAACTCCACTTTGTAAGAGTTTTAGGAAAAGCCCATTGTGCCACACCGAATCAAAGGCTTTTTTAAAATCAATGAAACAGCCGAATATTTTCCCTTGTTTGGTCTGGTGGACATGTTTTTGAATGAGTGTTTGGAGTGTGTAGATGTGATCTGCTGTTCTTTTTTTAGGCATAAATCCAATCTGACAATTATTTAAAATCTTGTTTTCCTGGATGAACCCAACCAGTCTATCATTAATGATAGAGCAGAATAATTTCCCCAGGTTACTACTCACTGTGATGCCCCTATAGTTATTTGGGTCATATTTCTCACCATTTTTAAATATTGGCGTGATTAAATTCTCCTTCCAAATTTCTGGAAAATGTCCTGATTCTAACAAGAGGTTGAATAATTTCAAGATGGCGTTTTTTAATTGAGGACTGCTGTGTTTTAGCATCTCATTAGAGATTCCATCTGAGGCACAGGACTTTTTATTTTTTAGAGTTTTAAATTTTTCTGTTAACTCATTTAATTGTATTGGGACATCTAAATGGTTTAGCTGATCTTTAATAGTATTTTCTAATATATGTAATTGGGAGGTCAGATGTTTTTGTTTTTGGTTCAATTCTTTTTGTGAATATAGCTTTTCGAAATGTTTGGTCCAGATTTTTGGGTCTTGAATGGGAATTTGTTTCGATTCTTTAGATTGATTTAATCTTTTCCATAAATCCCAAAACAAATTTTGATCAATAGCCTCCTCAATTTGATCCAATTTTAACTTCATGTGATCAGCTTTCTTTTCTTTTAATAGTGATTTATACATTTGGAGAGTTTGTTGGTATTTTCCTCGTGTGTGTTGGTTTGTCGGATCTCTGTGTTTTTTATTTGACAATTGTCTTAATTCTTTTCTTGTATTTTGACATTCTTTGTCAAACCAGCCAGCTGTAGTTTTTCCTTTTTTAGATTTGTATTTCAGATTTTTCCTCAATGTTTTTTGGGCTCTCTCTCTCTCTCTCTCTCTCTCTCTCTCTCTCTCTCTCTCTCTCTCTCTCTCTCTCTCTCTCTCTCTCTCTCTCTCTCTCTCTCTCTCTCTCTCTCTCTCTCTCTCTCTCTCTCTCTCTCTCTCTCCCCTCTCTCCCCTCTCTCCCCTCTCTCCCCTCTCTGACCGCGAGCCTAATGTCACATAGAAGGTATTCAGTTTCTGAATGGTTTAGGCTCAAGCCAACAGTTTGGTGACGCTGTCTGAGCCTTATGTCATATTTTACCGATACCGGGGTAAAATATGGAAGCGGTTTGACGGTATCAAAATTTAGATACCGCCCAAGCCTAATATATAAATATATGATTTTTTTTTTTTTATGTATACGCGATACACACACATACATAGAAACTATACAAAACAATTTTGGTTGGTTTGGTAGCGGTGAAGAGGGTGGCCGGCACGGAGAGATTTTTTCAACACATTTGTAAACATAATAGTTTAAATAACTCATCTCTAATAACTCACTTATTTTATCTTTGCCATGATAATAGAAAATAATATTTTACTAGATATTTTTCAAGACACTTCTATACAGCTTAAAGTGACATTTAAAATCGTAACTAGGTTTATTAAGCAGGTTAGGGTAATTAAGCAAGTTACTGTATAACACTGATATGTTCAGTAGTCTGTAATAACACATAGCTTAAAGGGGCTAATAATTTTGACCTTAAAATGGTTTTGAAAAAAAAAAAAAAAACTACTTTTATTCTAGATGAAATAAAACAAATAAGACTTTCTCAAGAGGAAAAACATTTTATCAGACATACTGTGAAAATTTCTTTGCTCTGTTAAACATCATTTGGGAATTATTTAAAAAAATAAAAACAAAAGTCAAAGAAGGTTTAATAATACTGATATCAACTGTAAATATTAATAAACATTTTCTCAAATATATTCATGCATGTGTGTATTTATAAATACATAATAAATATACACAGAACACACACTTAAATGCAGTCTAGAAAAACATTTTGTTTTGTTTTTTGGATGCGATTAAGGAAGATTCATTTTGCCCAGCATTAATAAATAGAATTATTTGATTAATGCAATAAAATAATATTGCAACAATACTTAATTATTTCAAATAAGATTAGAAACAAATAAATAAATAAAACATGGTTTAGAATAATTACAATTAATTAATATAATCTAATAATTATAAACAATAAACAAAAACATTTTGAAATATAACTAATTATCCAAAATATGATTAAAATAATAATATAAACACAAGCATTGAGTGTATATATTGTATAAATAAATAAACTGAAAGTGAAGTAAAGTCTAGAAGCTTCTTCATACATTTAAAAGACATGTAACGTTAATGATTTACTCCAGAAATCGTGCAGCTCTGTGTGTCTATTTTGATTTGTTCAGCATTTTTGGAAATGTACCTCTATTTGTCACAATTCACAGTTTTGAGCCATTATTTCAAAATATGACAAACAGTCAGAACAAAGAAATTATCAACTGTTTCAATACGACTGTTAATGTACAAGTTATTAATCATATGTACTACTTATTAACTCACTTTTCTGTCCCTCTTGCTGGAAGTCAACATCCCAGAGTGTGCGGAACTGGAAACTGGCATAGATGTCGCCGGAGTGCAGAGGCCTGATGACCAGCTCCTCCTCGAATTGATCTTTGACTGGTCTAACAGACGGGGTGTTTTGTGGATCATCTCCTGTGTATGGTTCCACATCAGTCTTTTGCCACTGCCTTTCATTCAGATCGACACTTCTAGCGTCGGTATTATCTCGCGGCGCGTCTGAAGCGCTTTGCTTTTCTCCTGTGGTGTCGTTTGCTTTTTCAAGCGTGTCAGCAATGCCGGGGTGAACTATACGGGAGAGAATCAAAATTAATGCTAGATATAAACCGCATCTGTAAGCTGCCATGTTTGCTTCCCTACTAGAACACTTCCTGGATGTGAATTACAGCATGGACCAATCGGAGAACAGTATTCAGACGCATGACCAATGAGAGACGAGAATCTGCAATCTGACCAATCCCAGCAAACATTGGTCGGACGACGACGTGCTCTCCCCGGCCAAAAGATGTCGCTCCAAAATTTATAATTGAGTTTATATATTCCAATTTTTCTTTGCTTTGGGAAAATGTATTAATTGGTTTTATTGATACAGACAGTAGTACAGAAAAAGTGTTCTACTTCATAAATCTTTTACTTTTACTTGCTAAATATCATATCCATAAATGCAAATTCTCCAATAATAAACCGCTTTTTAAGGTATTCATAAAAGAACTGAAACAATACTTTGAAACACTTTCCGGTTCAGGAAACACTAAGGCTAGGAAAACATTATCTTGTCATGCCCTATTTAAAATTCCCCTGTAAAAAGTGGTACTTTGTTTTGATTTACTTACACTATTAATATTGTATTTTTATTTTAAGCTTTACGTTATATGTATCTATTATTCAATTTATTGTATTTTTTCCCCTTCTTTACTGTTTTATCCCCCTGGCATCTTTTATGTTCCTTATGTAGTTCCTAATGTTTCATTATACTGTAATAATTTACTGTTTAATAAAAAAAAAATAATAAAAAAAATGTCGCTCCGCGACGGCATCAATGGTGTACTGATGGTCTGAAAGCGACGTGCAGCCAAAATTCGTCGCGACCGCACGGCACAAATGCACAACATGTCCTAAAATGCATTAATATATGCTTGTATCAAGGGCGTAGGTTTGCACTTGACATTGCTGAGGACAGGGGACGAGTCACCCCCGCCAAGAGTGAATAATGTTTATATATATATATATATATATATTGCTATTTATTATTTAACTGCTATATTAAGTAATCCTATTTTCTTACAATTTATTAAGTTAAATTAAATAGTCATGTGCGTAGCCAAGGGGGGTCAGGTGGTTTGAAAGACCAAAAGTTGGATTATTATTATTATTATGTTTGAATTTATTTTATTATTCAAATGGCTCAATTCTCACTGAGGAAGGTTGAATGCGCCGGCCAGTTTGTTATTTGCCTAGGCTTCAGTTTTTAATTTAAATCAAGTTTTAACAGATTTCCCAAAAAAAAATTATAATTATAAAATTGTATTTTAAAAATAAGTATATTTCATATTTGAAGAGTTTAGATGCAAAAACCTCTCAATGCCATTTAATATTTTCTTCTAAAATGAGCATTTTCTCCAACTCCTGTGTGTAGACTCAGTGATTTACCTTTTGTAGTGACAAATACGTTATTTTCATTGCCTTTAAAGTGAAATAACTGAACATGAATATACAAGGCTGAGAAAAATGCTCATTTTACATGGCATTTAGAGGTTTTGGCATCTGTACTCTTCATTTCTTTATTCTAACAATTTAAAGTCCTAATTTCTAGCTTTAATAAAAAACTTTATTAAAACTTACAGTTTAAACGTGTAAATAAAGCAATTTTACAAAATGGTAGGAAATAGTTTTGGTACATCAAAAAGTGTTGTTATAATAACTATCCAACAAGGTTACTCAGCAAAAATTAGCTCCTTATATGTCACTAAAATGTATTATTTATACCTCAGGTGGATAACTGCAAAAAGGTTGTTTTTCAGAAAACAAATAACCCCTCCTTTCAATAAGCTGGCTACAGGCCTGAAAGTGTCAAGTTAAAATAATGTTTATTAACTGATAAAGATAGAGTTTAATAAAGACTTTCGTTCATTTTTCGTACAAATTAAAAATGTCTCATAGTATTATTGAAAGATGGAGCACATGCTGTAGTTTTTCTGACAAACTGTTTCACCTGAACTTGGAGATGTTACTCTAAGAGATTAGGAGAACTGGCAGGGTCATATACGTTTACAAGTAGGTGTTTATTCTGCAGTTAGTTTTCATGGAATATTGTTTACCGACTATATCAGTCTGCTTTAACGTTAGACTGACCGTAAAAGCGGTGAAAACACCAGCAATAGCAGGATTACCATGATGGACTCATTCAGTAGCAAACTTGAGTTTATGTGACTTACACTTTTGGTTGAAAAAAGCTCTTTATGTCCATCTTTTTTGCTACCTCCATCTATGAGGTGCCGTGTAGGATTTAAATCAAACTTTGCTTATCAACACATACATAAAACACGTGTATATACACCTATAAATTACTCGCATATACACCTATACTACTGGATGTTCAAAACAACATGGATGAAACTTGTGTATATACATGTAAACTTGACGCATGGATACACCCACATACACACACATATACATATAAACTCGATCCTCACATAAACACCCACATTAACACACGCACATACATATAAACTTGCTGCATGCAAACACACCTATACACAATTGCATATACATATAAACTCGATTCTCGCATAAATACCCACATTTACATGCACATACATATAAACTCGCAGCATGCAAACACACCTATACATACTCGCATATACATATAAACTCGGTCTATATACACCCTCAACAACACGCGCACATACACAAACTCACTGCATGCAAACACATCTATAACATCTCGCGCAAACATACAAAAAAATTAAAATAAATAAAATTCACAAACATTTATCACGAATCTGGTTATTGCAAAGCTTATGTAATAGAAATAATGTGATTAATAGAGGGATTAAATATGTTAAATTATGAACATATGTTATATAAAATATGAGTCTATATAAATAGACTATTCAAAATAAGAAATATTTTTATTTAAAACCTTTTCATTTAATTAGGTAATTACATACACAAATATAAATGGACTGATAGAACCCTTAAAGGACATTCAAAAAGCAACCAGAACTATAAATATAAATGTATACTCAAACTAAACTCCTCTATTCTATTGCAAATGTTAATGTAGCCTATAGTCTTCTTGTTTTGTTTTTTACATTTTTATAATTATTATGCTTTTTATGTGTTTTTACAATGTGGGTGTCAAAATTGCAAGATTTTGGTATCATTTTGATTGTTAATTATTCAGCACATACAAAAAAAAACAAAAAAAAACCCGCTGATTAAAAGTCTCTGCTCATCATGTTGATCAAGTTAACCCCCATGGAAAAGCTATATATTTTATCTGGACACTCCTTTTGTGTTTAATAACTACTACTTATATTTTTACAGCAGCTGGCATCCAGCATTTTGGTGCATTAGCCTGTTTATTGGTGACAGGAAAACCCACTTAAGTGCATTCCTACCTCCTACTGGACATAAGTGTGTATCATAACCCTTGACGAATAGTGACACCAATAATAAAACAAACATAAAAAACTAATATTAGACAAACATATTTTATTCAAAATAATTACTTAAGCAACTTTATTATTATTAAACCATAATAACATTTCCGATAATTTAATTGCATAATAAACCTTTAATTTTGCAGGAGCATTCCTTTGCATTACCTTTTTATTTATTTATTTTTTAGAATTAGCATAATCTATTTTCATAATTCAACAGATGTAATTCCTCTATTAATCACATTATTTCTGTTTCTTAAGGTTTGCAATAACCTGATTTATGACAAATAATAATCTTGTTCATTACACTCAAAGGACTTTTACGTTGAAATTAAACGACTTCCTTTTAAAGTGAAATAACTTCCTTTTACTGTGAAAATTCATGCATACACACATATGAAATCACTTGCATATATGTGTGTTTGTGTGTGTATATATATATATATATATATATATATATATATATATATATATATATATATATATGCAAGTGATTTCATATGTTTATATGCATGAATTCTCAGTGTAAAAGAAAGTTATTTCACTTTAAAAGGAAGCAGTTTAATTTCAACGTAAAAGTCTGTTCAGCATAAATTACAGAGATCATTATTTGTTATGAATCAAGTTATGGCAAAGCTTAAGAAACAGAAATAATGTAATTAATAAACCCATAGCTAATATTTTAATAGCATAATATACCTTTAATTTTGCTAAAGCATTCCTTAGCATTATCTTTTTATATATTTTTTGAATTAGCATAATCTATTTTCATAATTCAACACATTTAATACCTCTATTAATCACATAATTTCTGTTTCTTAAGCTTTGCAATAACTTGATTCATGACAAATAATTATCTCGTATATTTATGCTCAACTGACTTTTATGTTGAAATGAAACTACTTCCTTTTAAAGTAAAATAACTTCCTTTTACACTGAGAATTCATGCATATACACATATGAAATCACTTGCATAAACACACACACACACACACACACACACACACACACACACACACAACTAACTGTATATATGTTTGTGAATTTTATTTTGTATGTTTGCAAGAGTGTTATCTGGGTGTTTATGCACACATCAAGTTTACATTCATATGTGAGAGTTTATGGGTGCAGATGCATGGATTGAGTTTATATGTATATGCGAGTGTGTATAGGTGTGTTTGCATGCTGCGAGTTTATATGTATGTGTGTGTGTGTGTGTGTGTGTGTGTGCGTGTGTGTGTGTGTGTGTGTGTGTGTGTGTGTGTGTGTAAATGTGGGTGTTTATGTGAGAATCAAGTTTATATGTATATGCGAGTGTGTATAGGTGTGTTTGCATGCGTCAAGTTTATATGTACATACACAAGTTTCATCTGTGTTGTTTTGAACATCCAGGAGTATAGGTGTATATGCGAGTAATTCATAGGTGTATATGCATGCGTTTTATGTATGTGTTGATAAGCGAAGTTGGATTTAAATCCTACGTGGCACCTCATATTTTCATCACTTTCTTTAAAAACATTAGTTATTGTCATTAGTCATTAGTTTAAAAACATTAGTTACAGAGCACTGCGCACCAGAACAGCCCAACAGAGAAACAGTTTCTTCCCTCAGGCAATTCATCTCATAAAGACTTGATAATAATAATTGTGGAACAAACATCACTACTTGCAATACACTTTATACACATATACACTTATTTAACAACACACTTTACATGCCAAATTGCACATAACAGCTGC